TCTTCTTGAAGTTAATCGTAAATTGTTAGTATATATTTTATAAACGATATTGTTTTCAATTTGTTTGAAAAAGACTTAATTAGCAGTCTGCAGGACGGTGTACCCCTCAAATTGATGAACCGCAAGTGCGAATGAGCGGCCCCTACGAAGTTAAAGTTCTTGCCGGATGAATAGATAAAGTCCTAGCCTGCGTAGCAGGTGCTTGGAAGTAGTGGGCGCGAGAAAGAACGGGCGCGTTGTTAAGATTCAGGTCCGAGCAAGTTTTCATATGCGAGTTGATACTCGGAGAAAAGTTTTACCCAAACTTATAAAACTTTTTTTTGGTGTCTCTCTACTCCGGGGAAGGGGGGGGGGGGTAATCAACAAAGATCTATAAGGGGAGGTAACTGATGAATCCACCATCATGGCATCGAACAAAAGGAACAAGAGGAGGGGTTGAATATCAATTACTGTATAATATTGCCCTGTGAAGCTTCTATTTGCAGTTTCTTCCAACTGAATGTACGAAAATCGGATCCGCAATCGATTTAGTACTATTGACGTTGATTCAATCTTAAACAAACTACTACTTAGCTGCTTAAAATCGTTTTACTGCGGTTTCCATTGTTTTACAGTGAATAAGTATTTTAGGAAACCATTAGCTTAAAATTGCTCATCAATTTGTCTGCTCTGAGTCATAAAACTTTTATAGGAACCATACCGCAACAGCTCAAAATATTTTAGGTCTTTTATTATAGGAATAATAGCGCACACATTTCTCAAGACTTCGCAATTTAAAATCTTTTGATGATCTTCTTGCATGCATTCATACTTTTATTGAAAAGTTTTAGAATAAAATTTAAGTGAATAAGATGTAAGAAAACCGAAGATTTGTCGATTGGTAATAAATAGCCTTATAATGTTAACAAATATCTAGTCCCCCCCCTTTTTTTTTTCCTGCTGCTAATAGACTCCAAAATAAATTGACTAGAGGTGTGTTATTACCATACTAGATATTGAAGCAATTCTATTAAATCCTTCGAGTTCTTTCGTAACACCTTCTCGAATGGGCTCCTGCCTTTGGACAGAAGTCTAGGTAAGTAAGAACTCTGGGCTTCTTCTTATAAGTAGAAAAGTGGAAATGTAATATTATATTTTCAAGACGTTTTAATTAGCAACCTCCCCAATACGAGCTTCATACGCGTTTCCATTTGAGACAAAACACCGCCGCTCTATGTTTCGACGACGGCAACGAGGACGCCAGAAAAGCGACTTTGCACTTGCATTACACTTTTTAGTACATTTCTTTGCCGTCAATGCACGATTCGCTAAGTGAAATTAATTTCACGTTTTATGGAGGGCGAAAAGACAGACGACGACCAACTTTCTTTTCTCTTTCTGAACTCTTATGGTATAAAAAAGCTGAAGTTTAGAATTACGAGAAGCCACTTCTTAAATAACTTTTTCCCTGCCGTCAGGAGCTGACATGCGAATAGCATTTCATTCCAAAAATATGTATATGTTCACCTGTCTCCCCTTGTGGTGCAATGAAAGTATAGGAACGAAAATTCTCAAGGAATTTTAGAGAAATGTGCGGTGGCTACACACACATTACATAACAAGCATTAATTTCCAAAACTGAGAGAAAAGGAGATAAACATTTTTTCAATAAGTTAACTATGAAAAGTTTATTTACAAACAGCATAATGAGATAAAGCTTTAGCGAGCATATATCAAGAAATGAAAACAAAGAAGCCGACATTTTTAAGGTATTTTCTCAATCAACATTGAGCAAAACGATATTCAATAGTCATTTCCTTCTGAAAGTCTCCAGTGTAAAACACCTGAGGTATCTAGTGTACATGACATTAAGAATGAATTTGAAAGGTATACTATTGTGAATTTTAAAAACTTTTCCTGAAAAATACTTTGTTTGTTTATTTTGCCTTCAGCAACTTTCAGCAAAAAATCTTGACCTCTTGGAACTTATCTTGTCTAGTGGTAGTGAGAAATACTAGTTTGAGGAGAAAAAAAATATCAGCTTATAGGAGGTGATAAAACGGTAGAGCCATCGAATGGAGGAAAATTAGAAGAGACTGAATAAGAAAAGAAAACAGCTCTTTATTTGATTGTAAGCGTTCAGCTCGAAAGTACTAACTGAGCACACTTAATGAATTTCACGTCTCCTATATTAGAGACGGGAGGAGTACTTTACGTGTTTATCGGCGACGCCACAAGAGGGCTAGCCGTTTTCATTAAGGCAAAGGCAATACTTTCACTCACTTATTTCAAGACTCTCAGTATTGGTCCGGCCTCGACAATCGACCTCGCGGCCTTCCGCTCTGCAGTCAAGTGCTCTATCGAGTTAGCTAATCGTCATCAAGTTACTGAAAACTGTACTGCGTGAGATCTGCCGAACTGTGATGTGCATTAAGAGGATGATAGGTATGCGTCATTGCAGAAAAAACCGAATTCCATGCTGCCAAATATAATAAATTAGGCTGGATAGGTGTCCTTAATATTTCGAGGAGTATAGAGTGGTACAAGTAAATGATATAGTAAAGCAATAACGCCAAAATGTTCTACCTATTTGCGATATGGTATTTTCCTGAGAGATTTTCATGAATGAGCACCCTTAGATATACAGTATTTGACATTTTTTGTTTCTAAGGAGACGTAGCCGGTCCTGGTATATGATGAAAAACGCTTTCAAATGAATTTGGGTATCTAACTTTTTTCTGACTTAAGATCGATAATTTTGACTACATGAGTCTCTAAAAATGAATTCTGCTGTATTTTCTCTCTATTTTGGTCCATTCCATTGAGACTGAGAAAAAAAAAATCGTTGGATAGAAAGTAAGTACTTCTTCGCCAAGCAGACGTAAAAAAAAAGTGTTGTAAAGCATCTGTTACAGGAAAACTATTTTTAACGACTAATTTCAACGACTTGTGGTTGATTATTACGTAGATCTGCTCTAAAAAGTCATCTACTAAATAAATTACACCAAGTTTGTGGCTTTAGGTGGGTTTGGTAAATTTTCCATATGAAAGAATAAGAATAAGAATTGTGCAGGTCTTTATCGAGGCTGCCTGCTGAGGTGGATAACATCTGCTTTCATCAGCACAATTCTTCATATCTTACTCAGCTTTATTCCGTAACTGTAAAAATAGAACTCCAGAATATAGTGCTGATTAGTTAAAATTAAATCGAGATGAATGTGTCGGAAGTTCAGATTGCCGACTGCAATTCAAAATCTTCTGGAAAAAAAAATTAGTGACTCTAAGATCATTAAAGTTCCCGTGAAATAACGTTTCATGAAGAAATTATGAAGATTTTGTCGTTTGGTGATAAATTAGCGTTTTTAAGTCAACATGTATTTCACTTTCACGTTCTCAATGATTAAAAAAAAAGAACTTGTCGAATTAATCCTTAGAATTAGGAAATCTTGGTGAGGAGCATTAGCCATCTTCTTGAAGTTAATCGTAGATTCTAAATATTTATTTTATATGAATTGCGATATTGTTTTTAATTTGTTTGAAAAAGACTCAATTAGCCGTTTGAAGGACGATGCACCCTTCTAATTGATGAAACCGTAAGTGCGAATGAACGACCCCCGTGAGGATAAACCTCTTAACGGATGAGTAAATAAAGTCGTAGACTGCAAAAGAGTCCGTATCTTTGCGTATTGAAGTATAGTAAGCGCGAGCAGTCAAAGAAAAGGTTTGGAAAGAGGCTGAAAACGGAGAGTGACACATAATTCTTCGTATCTTACTCAGCCTTATTCAATAATTCAGTGTTTAGTTAGAACTCCGGAATATATTATTCCTTTATAGGGCTCATTGGTTAAAATTAAATCGAGATGACTGTGCTAGAAGTTCAAATTGCAAACTGCTATTCAAAATCTTTTAAAAAAATAACTAGTGAATCTGAGATCATTTAAAGTTCCTCTGAAATAACATTTCATGAAGAAATTATGAAGACTTTGTCGTTTGGAGGTAAATTAGCCTTTTTAAGTCAATATGTACTTCACTTTCATGTTTTCGATGATTACAAAAAAAAAGACCTCGGAATAATCCGTAGAATTAGGAAATCTTGGTGAGGAGCATTAGGCTTCTTCTTAAAGTTAATCGTAAATTGTAAATATATATTTTACATACGATATCGTTTTTAATTTGTTTGAAAAAAATAATAATAATTTATTTAGCTGTCTAAAGGATGGTGCACCCTTCAAATTGATGAAACCGCAAGTACGAATGAACGACCCCCGTGAAGATAAACCTCTTAACGGATGAGTAAGTTAAGTCCAGAATTTGGCAGACAAAAAAAGATAATTATGCAAATGACCTCGTAAAGACTGAGGTCTGTGCAAGTTTTCATTATGCGAGCTGATACTCGGAGAAAGGTTTCACCCAAACTTATTGAACTTTGTGTGGACACGTGTAGTTGGTGCCTCTCTAAGAAGAACCAATACTCCCGGGGGGTGGGGAGGTACTCAACAAAGATCTATACGAGGCTGGAGCCTTGTACGGGGAGGCTACGACCAGAGGTCACTCCCCAGCTTACCCCTTTATATACCACTTTTTTCCAGACATGGCACCCCTTTCAAATACCTAGTTTAGAACTTTGCCTACCTTTTTGATTGCTGTAAGTATACTTTCTTAAAAATTTGAATAAAATACAAAACCAAAACGATTTCTTGACTATTTCACGGCCATGTGAAAGACATTAAAGGAATCTCACATTGTTATCCCTTTTGGGCCTTTTTAAAATCTCTACCCTTTCATATACCTGAAGCCTAAGAAAGGTACCACTTTCTGGCGGAGCCTCCCCATATAGATTATAGGGATAGGAGTACCCCCCGGGAGTCAGGTGCCTCTCTGTAGGGTACCAATGTGGAACCAGTCTGTCATTGAGCTTGCTACGAAAGTGAGAATTCATCGCTCGAGGAACTCCTCACATATCTTAATGCTTATTCTAAATTCTTTTTAAGTTTCAGAACCCGCAGTTCAAGCGCTATATGATGTCCCTGGCACTTTTCACAATTTGTCTTATATCCCAGATGCATGGAAGTGAGGCTGTTGGTGGGCAATGCAAAACTTCAGAGAGATCAGCACCTGGTAAAGCTCTCAAGGGTCACACCTTCAAAGAGTTTGCAGTGAGGGGAATTGTTGATTGCCAAAACACCTGTGAAAGAGACCCCAGGTGTGCGAGTTACAATTTTTACATTCCGGGCAAAGTGTGCGAGCTTAACAGCCACACCAAGGAGGAGAAACCTGATCATTTTGTAACGGATGAACTGAGATTCTACATGAAACGTGAAGGTATGAAATATATAAAACTTTGTACATCAAACACACTCTCAACTGATTCCCTCGATTCTCCTTATTAGTTTGTCTAGCTGGTAGGACTAGACTTTAGTGCAACACCGGGCGAACTTTCTCGAGGTTTTGCGGGATACGTATTTCTGGTATGTTATTTCCAAAAGGAAACGAGTTAGATTAGCCATAAGTCAAATACATGCTGTCAGTAGCATATCGAAAGAAAGTCGTCCTTATATTGATAGTCTGAAGAGGGCGTACTTGATTAAGAAATAACTCACATTTTCCTTATGCTGTCTGTTTTATATTATCAGATGAAGATGAGTGCTTGAAGACGCCACCAGTTTGTGACGTCAACGCAAACTGCAAGAACACGCTTGGCTCCTACCTTTGTTCTTGTAAAGAGGGTTTTATGGGTGACGGTAATACATGTCAAGGTAAAACGATCAGGAAAACATGGATTGAAAGAAAACGTTACTGACAAGTATGACTTTTTAGGGCTACTATTTGAGATGGTTTGCTGAGTTTGCAAGAAAAGTGGTATCACCATTTTGTCTGTTTTGTTCTCTGTTGTCTTGTCTTCAACAAATTGGCCATAATTGAGACAAGTGGGACTTCGTTTTTCGCGGGCTGCACACTTTATAAAATAGGCGGTCATTTGTCTAAAGTAAATAAATCGTTAACTATAGTATTTCTAGTAAAAATCAATATCACAATCTCTGTTCCAACGTTATTTCAGACGTTGACGAATGTGTAGAAGGAACTCATAATTGCAGTGGAAAGGCCGAGTGCAATAACACCAAAGGAAGCTACAACTGTACATGCAAGTCAGGCTTTACTGGAGATGGTCAAAACTGCTCAGGTTATCACTGATTCATGTTTACTGTTGCTGTTTATTTGTTCGATACCTCTTTTCGTAGAATTAAACTAGCCTGTTTTTAATCGTATTTGATAATAGCTAATAATAAATAAAAATAATGATTCTTGATACTAGTAATAATAATAATGATGATTATGATAATAGATGATAATAGATGACAAAAAAACAGTGTACACTGGGCGCCTTGAACAAAAACGTTAGTGACAAGTATGACCTTTTATTGCCAATGTTTGAAACGGTTAGCTGTGTTTGCAGAAACATTGCTGGTATTACCTCTTTTTCTCTGCTTTTTTTTTCTTTAACATAACATGTGTTTAACATGTGAGCTTGTTGGGATTTCCTTTGCCGCGGGCTGCACACTTAATGAAAAAGGGGGACAATTGTCAAAAGAAATAACTCGTCAACAATAGTAATTCCAGTAGAAAATCAATATCATAATCTCTGTTCCATCGTTATTTCAGACATTGACGAATGTGCAGCTGGGACTCATAACTGCAGTAGCCACGCCGAGTGTAATAACACCAAAGGAAGCTTTAACTGTATATGTAAGACAGGCTTCACTGGAGATGGTCAAAACTGCTCAGGTGATCATTGATTCAGATCTTACCGTCGATGTTTATTTGTTCTATGCCTCTTTCCTTAGTATTAAACCTGTTTTCAATGGCCTTTGATAGCTAATGATGACGATGATAATAATAATAATAATAATAATAATAATAATAAAAAGAAGAAGAAGAAGAAGAAGAAGTCATAATAATGATGATCTTTATGATGACGACGACGACGACGATCATGATGATAATGATAATTTTAATGATAGTTGACAAATAAACAGGAAACCCTACGTTACTTGACTGCTAAAACGTTAGTGACAAGTATGACCTTTTTGCAGGAACTGTAGTATCACCTTTTTTTTCTGCAGTTTTATGTTCAACAAATTGGTCATAATAATAATAACAATAATAATAATAAACAATTGCAAACAATTCAGTCAAAACCAGATGTTTGCAAACGATAGGAAAAAGTTCTTCAGAAACCTTGGTAAAGACCAGATATCAGTTGAAAAACCACCTAAGAAAGAAATAACAGAAACATTTTGGCGTAACATCTTGGAGAACGATAGAGAGCACAACCATTCAGCAGAGTGTATAAAGAGGGAGGAGCAGAAATATGCTGATACAGAATGCCAACCATGGAAGGACATAAGCCAAGATGAGTTGCAGACTGTTTTGAAGAAAGCAAGCAACTGGAAGTCACCAGGCCCTGATGCAGTTCCTAACTTCTGGCTAAAGCAACTCACAGCACTACATTAACACCTACTGAATGCATATAACCAAGCAATAGAACACCCAGAAAATCTGCCTGATTGGTTCACTACAGCACAAACATATTTACTACCAAAGAACAAAGACACAGAGAACCCCCAAAACTATAGACCAATTGCCTGTTTATCCTACAAGGTGCTCACATCGATTTTAACCGAAAGAAGCAACACCCATATCACAAAGAATGATATATTGCCGGACGAACAGAGAGGCTGTGTCAGGGATTCATATGGATGCAAAGATCAGCTCCTAATAAATAAAATGATCATAGAAGACTGCAAAAAGAAGAAAAAGAACTGGAGTATGACTTTGATAGACTACAGAAAAGCCTATGATAGTGTTCCTCATAGTTGGATACTGAAGACCTTACAGATGTACAGATTTAATGAAAAACTAATCAAGTTCATGAGAACCTCAATGAGCTACTGGAAAACTACGATGAAGCTATCTTACAATGATGGATGCATCACAACAGATCAGATCAAGATCAAAAGAGGGATCTTTCAAGGAGATTCATTCTCACCTCTGCTATTTTGTCTAGCCCTTGTGCCTTTAACATCAGAGCTGGCTACATCTGGGTATGGTTACAAGATCTTAAACACAAGTGCTCCAATCAGCAATCTGTTTTATATGGATGATCTAAAATTGTATAGCAAGAACGAGCAACAACAAGTTGGAGAACTGAAAATAGTGAACCAATTCAGTGATGATATTGGTATGGAATTCGGACTTGAGAAATGTGCCAAAGCCAGTTTCAAGAAAGGTAAACTGGCCTCAACTGGAAACATAGTAATAGATGATGACACAGAAATACAGGTGTTGGACCGAGAAGGAGTATACAAATACCTGGGTGTAGATGAAAGTGATGGTATCCAGCACAGCAAAATGAAAGAGAAGATAAGAAAAGAATATAACAGGAGAGTAAGATTAATTCTAAGAACTGAGCTCAATGGAAGAAACAAAATAGAAGCTATAAATAGTCTTGAAGTCCCAGTTGTGCAATATAGCTTTGGCATCATTGACTGGAAAATCTCAGAACTGAAGAAGATCATCACTACACTCCACGGACACAAAAACACGCAAACTATTGAACATGCACAAGATGTTACATCCTAGAGCAGATGTGGAAAGGCTGTACATTCCAAGAAAAGATGGAGGTAGGGGCCTGATTGATGTAGAAACAGCACTCAAAACAGCAACAGTAGGGCTTGATCACTATCTGAAGCACAAAGAAGGGCAATATCCAAAGCAGGTGCTTGAACATGAAAGATCTAAAGCCAAAAATTCAATATCCAAGAATGCTACTAAATTCAAAAGGAGATAAAAGGGAAGTAACAATGCCAGAGATTAAGAACAGAGAAGATAAATCTGCCTCTGAAAATGCTAAAGCCCTGAAACGCGTGTTTAAGTCCAAGACGAAGTCAAGGAAAGAAGAAAAGTGGAAAAACAAAGCATTCCATTGCCAGTATCCAAAGATCCTAGAGAAGCCTCATGTAGACACAGTCACCACCAACAAATGGTTGTCAAGTAATTTGAAAGGAGAAACAGAGGGTCTACTTGTAGCAGCTCAAGACCAGGCAATAAACACCAGAAACTACCAGAAAGTAATATGTCGCCAGCAAGTGGAGAGCAAATGCAGAATGTGTTCGCAACATGAAGAGACAGTGGACCATATTGTATCTGGATGTGAGGTATTAGCCAAGACAGAGTACATCTCCAGGCACAATAATGCTGCAGCATATCTCCATTGGAGCATCTGTAAAGATCATGATATAGAGATTACAGACAAATGGTACGAACACGAGCCAGAGACCGTGATGTACAATAAAGATAACAACATCACCATCATGTGGGACATGCCAGTCAATACTGATAGAACTATAACAGCGAACAGACCAGACATCATCGTTAAAGATTCAGTGAATTCCACCTGCAAACTGATTGATATGACTGTTCCATCAGATAGAAACATCGCACTGAAGGAAACTGAAAAAAAAAGCAGGTACAAAGACCTAGAACTAGAAATACAGAGAATGTGGCATATGAAAACCGTAGTGATCCCTGTGGTTGTTGGTGCGCTTGGTACAGTGAAGAAGGGTATGGTAGAAAACATCAAGAAAGTATCAGGGAGAGCTACTATGACAGAGATTCAAAAGATCTGCATGCTGGGATTTGCGCGAATCCTCAGAAAGGTGCTCAGTGTATGAACAGAATGATTGACTTGAGTGACTGCCGCTCTAGGTGCATGGTTTGTACCCGGCTGATGCACAAAAAGAACACCAGCAAAGACTGTGATAAAAGAGATAGTAATAATAATAATAATAATAATAATAATAACAAAATTCGAATACATAAAACAGGGGGACAATCGTCTACCCTGGGAGCAGAGTCTCCTGCGATCTTCCTAGATAAGTCGGGAAGAGGAAGGAACCTCGGCCGACATCCTCGACAATTCATATTGAACATGCTCCAAATTCAAATTTTTCTGTGACGTCAATCAAACCGTTACCGTAGCATCCACTGTGTTTGTCAGCAAATGTAAATGTTAGCGGGAATTTTCACCCTTCCGTATCCAAAGACGTTTTTGGCATCGCAGGTCGGGTATTATCCAAAAAACAGCTGTAAAAGCATCGATCATTTAAATGCAACATGGATTCTGTAGCCTCATGACCTTATTTTGAATTAATGTTATGAATGAGCAAACACCAAAGAATAGGCATAGATATTGTTTCGTAAATATTGTTATTCAAAACCCATTTGTTTATCCTTCAAGAACTTCGCGTAACACTTACTGGATTGGGGATCCATTCACGCGAGTAAAGTCGGTTAAGCACATGGTTAAATCCAAAACAAAATCCTTCTCAAGTCTGGGTGCATTTTCCAATTTTCCCAAAACTGCACGTTCAATCTATAATTTTCTGAAAATTCCTGCATGAAATTGAAGCGGCAGCTGTCTGTTTTGTTATAGAGCGTGGGCGCAGAAAGAGTCAGCAAAACTCCAGAATATGGGTGCGTGCACAGGTAAAACTGGTTTATCCAGTACGAAACTTGTCTGACTCATCCAAATCGCTGGATGATCGGCAGATCAAAGGAACTTGCAGATGTCGGCAGAGTCGCTTCCTCTTTCCCGACTCATCTAGGAAAGATCGAAGCGACTCTGCTAGCAGGGTAACAATCGTCAAAAGAAATAAAACGTTAACAATAGTAATTCCAGTAAAAATCGACATCATAATCTCTTTCCCAACGATATTTCAGACATTGACGAATGTGCACAAAAGATTCACAATTGCAGTAGCAAAGCGGAGTGCCATAACACCAAAGGAAGCTACAACTGTACATGTAAGGCAGGCTTCACTGGAGATGGCCAAAACTGCTCAGGTACTAGCTTTTTATTCACATTAGACTATTACTCTTGTTGCCAGTTATTTTGTCTATGTCGTCGACTCCAACTGCTCTTGATGCTGCAAATACTTTAGCAAAAATGCTCTATGTTTTTCAAAGAGATTGGAACACATTTAGTCCATTTCAACCAATGGTGTGAAATCGTATAGGAATTAATATTATAAGTGTTTGAAAAAATTATGATGGATAAAGCATGGAAGAGCTCAAGGGAGGAAGGGGGGTTATGTTAAGTGTTTGGTACGCTCTCCTATTGTAATGCATGTGTTATCAGATGGTCAGTTAACTAAATTAAGGAACCAACATTTCCTTATATCAAGACCTTCTCCGGGCGACAAGTAAGCTCCAAAATTTCTACACTCTTTTACATTCGTTTTTCAGCCCTTTAAGATGAGAGAAAAAAAGAGAAGCTGATCATCGAAAATACTGTGAAAGTCTACCAGATAAACTCGTAGATCAGAAAAGAACTGAGAATGAATATTTATTCATATTATTACACGCTATTCCCTTGATGTAGCATATTCATAAACAAAAATGGATGTTTGTCAAAGATTGTAACACGTTTAGTCCATTTCAATCAATGGTGTGAAATCAGCTTAGGAATAATAATTTATTGAAAAACTTCTGATAAAGCATGGAGCAGCTTGGAGAGGAGGGTATCAGTTGACTTTATTGAGGACCTTCTCCGGGTGACGAAATAAACCCCAAAATATAGAAACTCTTTCGAAGAAGTTTTTGTTTTTGTTTTTTAGCGTTTCAAGATGAGAAAAAAAAGAAGCTCGCTGATCATTGAAAATACTCTAAAAATCTACTAAATAAACCCGTTGATAAAAGAAAAAGATCTTCCTATCGACCTTCGTCACGGCAGTACGACACCGTGTGTTTCTTAAGTGATCGTTCTTGAAGTTGTAACTGCAGGAATATACGCTTCTCATTATCATTTTTAGATATTGATGAGTGCATCCAAGGATCACATGACTGCCTTCAAAGCCTGGCGTCTTGCTTAAATACTAATGGCTCCTTCAATTGCACTTGTCACGATGGATATATGGGCGACGGGAAGACATTTTGCAAGCCTAAAGGTAGGATCACTCGTACTTAAAGTGGAAGGGTGATGGACTATAGTTAACTGACAGCGCGTCCTGCAGAACGATCTGACAGTTGCTAACAATTAAACTGCCGTGTCCTCAACAAGCAATTTACAATTTGCTGCAACAAATCTTTTTGCACCCGTTTACACGAGATAGAAAACGATGGCTCGGTTTCAAGGGAGACCTGACAAGCCAAGTCACCCTTTTTCGATGGAAGGGTAACCCTCCCAGCCAGGTCAGCTTTTTCCCATAAAAACACTTTTGCTCGCCCAGTCAGGTCAACTCGGTCAAGGCGAGGTAATTAGAGCATGCGTAAGCGCTGTTGTCAGCTCCTGGCTCGGGCAAAATACATCAATTTTTTTCTCATATAAACGCTTACTAAAGTTGTCTTGGCTGGGAGAGTGCGGATGTCGACCCTCTTTCCCGGCTCGCAGTCTATAATGGACCCATAAGCGAGTCTTTTGTTTTCAAGCGCGCTTTACATTCTATGAATATAGAGGCCCTAGGTGTTCAAAAGGTGGATAACGCTATCCACTGGATAAATCTCTCTCCACTGGAAGGTGCAATTGGTTTCCCTAACACTTATCCGGTGGATAGCGTTATCCAACGTCAACACTTCAGTCTTGCAAACTAGGTAAAAGACAAGTGGTATTAAGAGAACCTTAGTGAAATAGCTTGAAGCCGTGGTTTAAGATTAGCCATTCATGTATCATATGATCTAAATGAGAACGGGGGTCTGCCGGTGTATATCCAAACATATTTGCTTTTCACTCAAGGTAGAAGTATTTATTAACTACATTTGTCTCCTTTAGAATTCACTGCAAAATTCACGTGTGACATGTCAATGGAAATGTTTGCTGATAATACAATAATAAAGCACCAAAACGATAATGATTGGACAATCCCCTCCATCTACCAGATACCAGGAGACACAAAGGTTCTTTCCGTGATTGGGACGAACGCCCCCGATGGCAGTCCGTTTGGAATACTCGGCTCAACTAGTAATGGACTGCTAACGAATGAAACCTGGAAATGCAGCAGCGATTTTTATCCCGGATGGACTTCCCCGGATTTTGATGACCGCGACTGGCCTTTGGCAAAAGTTGTTAAAAACCATGGGGTTTCCCCCTGGGGAACAATAAATGGCATAGCAAAGACGGCTAAGTGGATATGGGCCAAAAATTACGAACACACTGTATATTGTAGGCTGAAACTACAGTAAATTATAAACGGTTTGTTACTTAGACCTGAACAAAGACGAAAAATGTATTACTGTATTCAGATTTAAGAGCTCGAAGGGGTAGAAAGAGTATGATTCCGGAGAGGAGGGGGTGGTTCTCCTGGGAATTCTTGGTGCGGTGTGCCGCCCTGTTCTCCAAATCCTGACCCAATTATGTCATTTTTCACACTCGTTTTCAGACCAGACCTCTAAAATCCATACCCGTTTTCAAGCTTAGTCTTTAGACAGAAATTGTGTCATCATTACTTAAACTAGAGCGCAAACAAAAATTTGTTTTAAATGGATTTCGAATTCGCATGCTTCTATTTTTCCTTATTCATTTGGAATTGAAACGATGAATGCGTTCATACACTTCCGTAGATTCCTCGAAAACTACACCCGATTCCAGACCAAAATGGACAAAGTGTAAACCGGTTTTCAGACTACAGAGGCTCAAAAACCTTATCCTTTGGGGCTGCACATACCTATATGGCTTGTATAAGGGAGTACCTCCCCCCGAACTCCAGGAGTACGATAATGTTAATTTCAAATTTCACGGATACCTCCACTCATATTTTTCGACCATTTCGTCTTTTCAGGCAATTAATCCATAGAGTTGTATTTAACCGAAAGCCTCTGTTAGATGAAACGTTGCTCTTATTTTTCACAATTTTCTCCAATAATTTATTTATGATGCTAAAACATATGCTCGTTATTAGGGAGATTTAGAACCACGTTTGAAACCGAGATGACTAATTTTTATGTCAGGAGATGAGCAGATAAAAACTTTCCAAAACCATTCTTATTGATGAAACCAGGGGCGGTAATTTGCAAGCGTAGCTAATAGTTTTCACTGACTCTGAAACAATGGCTACGCTTGTAAATTACACTTGTAAAAGCGTGCAATTACAAATTTTTGTACCATTGCAATGCAATGAACACCTAGTGGACGACAAATTAAGAAATTTGGGGCGTTTTGGGCCATTTACCAAAAACTTTCGAAACTTCCATAGAAAAGTCCTTGGAGTGAAGAACGTGTTCCATTTGACGAAATTTCCATTCGTTTATGCTCTCGTCAACAAATTCAAGATGGTGGCACAGATATCGCCGCTGAATAGCCTGGAACTGGTGACTACATGTGTTATACTACTACATGAGAAATTTCTGCAATTTGATTGGCTTAGAGCAGTGGTATTTCAGCTTAATTTGAAATACCTACATGTGAAAATTACAAAACCTTTGTGGGTAGTAGTATAAACAAATAATATCATGATTTGTACGTGATATTTCAAAATTGTCTCAAATTTCACTCGCCTAACAGCTCGTGAAATTACGTATAACAATTTCGAAATATCGCTCGTGGTATTTATGCCAAATATCACTACCAATCATGCTATTAGCTATACAAAACTCGTAAATGGAACGTGCATTTCCACCGGAAAGTTTCCAACGGGAAAACAGGACTACCTTTTCAAAATTCCACTTATTCCCGGGAATTTTCAAGTGGAACGCCCGGAAAACGTGTGTAATCTATTAACATCCCAACCGGAATTTCCGGAATTTCTTGGTAAATTGAAAGCGCCCTTGGTCACGTGGCTGTTTCTAAATACATCTTACACAGACACTAAACAAACGTGAGGTGACCATTACCACGATTCATCCTGTGGCCTTTGAGAGTGACATCTCACCGACAGCCGTTTTCATGGTGGGTCTAAGTAAGGAGGGACATTCACGCGATAGCAAAACTGAGAAATCCTCTGGACCAGGTTATCTGAAAAAGGGGTTCCTTTTAATTCTACACAAACAGGAACTCCACACACCTTCACAATCCTTGCAACACACCTTCACAATGCAAATATTTCGAGATGAAAACCTTTTTCAAAAACCCTTGTCTGACTAACGATTCGCTCCCGGACACTGATTGGCGGAGTTTCGAAGAAACCTAATTTACAAGCAAGTGTTCTGAAGCTAACGTAAAATTCCGAAAATAAGCCCCGGGGCTTATATTTTATAAAGGCCCTTATTTTTGGAGGGGCTTATATTAGGAGGGGCTTATCTATGGAGGGAAATTTGCGTTTTAAAATCAGTTGGGATAGTCTTATAGTTGGAAGGAAATTTACCGTTTTTGCTTTGTTTTACTTTGCATTTGAGGGAAAATTTCAAGTACAAGCCCCCGGGGGGCTTACATTTGGAGGGTCGATTTAACGGAGGATTTATTGCGTTGCGAGTTTGGGGGAGGGGGCGGGGGGACTTACATTTGGAGGGGCTTATTTTTGGAATTTTACGGTATTCTTATCCCAGTTTTATTTACAAAGGGTCCTTTTACTTACGTCACAGTGTTATAATAATTTAAAAAAGACCGTTTATTAACCTCATTGCAGTAAAGAAAAACCCTGAATTACAGGGTTATAGTAAAATTGTAAATTACTAGATTAAAACTAGTCCTACTGTAATATTCACGAGTCTAATATTCTAATCATTATACGCAAATGTTATAAAAGAACTTGAGCGCTGTGTGCAGCAGAAGTTCCTGTCTCCGTATACTACCTTACGCGTGGAAGCGGTTCTCAGATTATATCTACGCACAGTTCTCGTATCCATGGGGACCAAAAAATGAAAAAAAAAATGGCCTCGGCGGTCGAGAGAACTTTGTGTCTTTTATATAAAACACGCGGTTATCATTTTAGCATTTTGTAGAAAAGGCAGAATACTGACAATTATTATTCACCTTTTTGTTTGTTTCTAAAAGAACTCAATTTTGAGGTTTGCATCGCCCTACCATTAATTTAATTTGATTAAAAACATTTTGCTTGTTGTTATTTTATTTCATCATTACTATTATTGCATTTACAATTTTCAAGATACAATTTTCAACTTTTATCCTGAGTCGATTTGGCAGGGATTTGGTGCTGGGTGGGACTAGCTGTATGTTAGAAGCTCACAAGGCAATAACCAAGAGAAATTTCTTCATTTATTTTGTGTTCATGAGTACTACCGGGCAAGAAGTGGGGCTGATCACAGGTGGCCCAAGCTCAGTATGAGAGTTTAATCAAATACATGGGGTTTCATATTGCGTAATCCTCAAAATGGCCGTGAACAAAAAGGTTCAGTGTTGTATGGGAATTCAGGTAAATTCAAGAAGACAAATACTCGCTAGAATTTTCAATAAAATACACCTTGCCTTATTTACTTGACTTGTTTTTGCTTACTGTGTGGTTATTTCCCGATCCATTGCTTATCACTTTTTTTGCCCTGAGTCTGAGTCGAGTAAGTCACAAGTATGACCTTTATATTGCCATTAGCAAACGGTTAGCTGTGTTTGCAGGAACAGTACTGATATTACCTTTTTTCTCTGTTACTTTGTCTTCAACAATTGAGGGACCATTAATAAGGCTTAAGTGGATTAAAGCTGAGGTGGATTGAAGCCTTCCTTGAAAATCGGCAACAATGCGTAGTAGTGGATGGCGAGAGGTCTGATTTTGTAGCTGTCCTTTCTGGTGTGCCTCAAGGTTTCGTCGTAGGTCCACTGACCTTACTGGCATTCATTAACCATCTCCTGCAGAACATAAGATCAAGGGTTCGCCTATACGCCGACGATACCATTCTGTGTTTGACTATCACGAGTGAAGATAACTGCAGAAAACTGCAGGATGACCTTGATGCGCTACAGAAATGGGAGGCAACTTGGAGGATGGAGTTTGACGACACTAAGTGTGAGGTATTGCGGATCTCGCGGTCTAAAACGCCATTCCAACATATTTATTACCTGCATGGCACTCCAATATAGGAGGATGATCACGCGAAATACCTGTAGGTATACGGTTCTCAAACGATCTCAAGTGGAATCGACCATTGACGAGATAACAGCCAAGGCAAACCGCACGCTTGGCTTTCTAAAAAGAAACTTACGGGTAAATTCGTCGACTTCAAAAGACAAAGCTTATAAAAGTGTTTGGGAACCCCGCCCAGGCGTTGAGAATAATGGTTCATATAAGATCGAAAGGATACAGCATCGCGCGGCTCAATGGTGCCTGCGAGGATACAACACATCTAGCGTCACTAACTTGCTTGAAGACCTGGGATGGTGTACCCTTGAGCAACGTCGGATTAACAGTCGGCTCATGATCATGGCCCTCTTTAAGATCACCCAGGGGCTCCTCTCTGTTAACCCTCACGGCACGGGCCACTGGGCCCTGTCATGCGCAGAACACGTCGCTCGCACTCGGAAAGTTTCATCCCGCTTCGAACTAGCCTGTCCACTGAGTATCTATCCTTTTTTTCAATAACAATTATTTAATCAGGGAAACTAAGGAGGCGGATATTTCCAAATACTCGGCTCCACTAGCAATGGATTAAATTTTTCGGAAAGACAGAATGTTAAACGGCCTAAATGGCGGAGGGGTTTGCTTTTACCTACGTAGTAATCTTAATTACCGAGTATGCGAGGATCCTAATATATAATGACAGGCTGGAATGTTTAACTGTTGAAATTTCTAAGCTATACTCTCGGCCATTCCTTGTTAGTACGTAGTATAGACCTCCCAATTCCTCAGGCGCCCAACGTGCTTATCGATTTTGGAGTTCTACGTCTCGTAGGCGATATGAGTATAAACCAAGTAACCAGATCCCGCTGACTGGAATTCTCGATCTATGGCTTAAAACAACAAATCACGGAGCCAACGAGAGTAACAGCTAAATCTCAGTCTATTATTGACTTATGTTTAACTAATATCCATGATATTTAATTCGCAAAACGCATTTTTTCAAACCCTGGCGGCGTTAAAATTATCACCACACGAAGTCTTAAGAATTCTAAAACAGCGGAGTTTCTTAGAGACGTTTGTCAAAGACCATGGAACGACATTAGGTAGTTCTCAGATCCTGACGACCTGTGGGAATTCTGGAAAATATCAGTTATTGGCCTATATAGATAAACACGGCCCTTTAAAAGCAAAAAGAACTGGGAAAAAGAAGTCTCCTCGTATTATCTGGCGGTGTTGAAATTATCACCACACGAAGTCTTAAGAATTCTAAAACAGCGGAGTTTCTTAAAGACGTTTGTCAAAGACCATGGAACGACATTATAGGCAATTCTCAGATCCTGACCACCTGTGGGAATTCTGGAAAATATCAGTTATTGCCCTGCATAGATAAACACGCCCCTTTAAAAGCAAAAAGAACTGGGAAAAAGAAGTCTCCTTGTATTATCTATAAATTAATACGGAAACTGCGTAAAAGAGCTGAGACTTCTTGAAAAAGAAAGCGGGCGTATTGGGCGTATTTGAAAGCTTCAAGAAATAAAGTGAACAATTCCGTCAAATATGCTAAACGAAAATATTTTAATGACAATCTCACTGCTAATAAAAAGGATCCCCGTAAAACATGGTAACTAATCAATGAACTGAACTTTCGTCAACCCAAGAAGAAAGTTATCGCTGATATCGAAACAGGAGATAAAGCTCTGCTTCTGAAATGGCTGAGGCCTTTGACAGTCATTTCGCAAATAGTGGACATGCACGACTGGTAAGAGGCATACCTTGTGCTGATACTCAACCGGGACACTATTTTACAGTCCCAACTGACATGAACTTCTCTTTAAACAGTTGTAGTGCTAAGGTGGTCCAAAAATTACTCGAAAAGCTAGAAGTTAAAAAGACGACTGCCTTGGACAATCTAATAGCGGCCGATATTCTCGCTCCATCTCTGACATTTCAGAGAAAGCTGACTGGGCCTCTCCTTTTCCTGATATTTATTAATGACTCGCCTAATTGCCTGACCACGGCCATACCGCGGATGTACGCTGATGATACCAGCCATTATCTCTGGCACCAGTAGCTTACCTGAACTTGAAGGGACAATTAATGGAGAACTTGCTAACTTTCACAAATGGCTAATTGTTAATAGGCTCACGTTAGAGACTTGCAAATAACGTTGGTCATTCACTTAACATTCATTTAGAAGATCAAGTAAGTCCCTAAGAATTCACATTGATCATTGTCGTGGTCCAAACATGTCAATGAGATGGCTAGAACTATTTCCTCTGGTATAGGCAGATACAGCTATTCTGCTTTATAGAGCTCTTATCGAACCGCATTTCGTCTATTGCTGCCCTGAGTGGGACGGTCTGAACAACGAATTGGCCGATAAATTACAAAAACTACAAAATCGTGCCATTAGGGTAATCACAAAGTCCGATTACCGCTCTTGTGCTACCGCCCTCCTCAAAAAAAAAAAAAACAAAAACAAAAACAAAAACGAGATGCACTTTATTTGAGTGTGAATGTATTTAGCGCTTAAGTACTAGTTTTGGACGCTATTTTCATGGGACGGACATTTGACATGGTCATCCTAGCCACGCGAATGTCTAGCTGTTTGCAGGGCAAAGGAATGAGTATTGGTCCGGCTCCGGTAAACGAACCCACACGGCTCAAGCGCTCTATCGACTGAGCTTATCCTGCTACGGTCGAATTGAGTCGGTTCGCCTATTAATTTTTTTTGTCTTGTCAGGTAACTTAATGTGCATTATGCAACGTAATTTAGCGACAGTCTCTGCTAGATAAAACGTTACTCTTCTTTTCCACAACTTTTCTCCCAATAATTAAAATATGTAAGGCTAAAAATATGCTCCTTATTAAAGAGATTTAGAGCCACGTTTGTAAGAAGAGCACTAATTTTTATGTTAGGAAATGCAGATCAAATACAAACTTTTCAAAACAATTCTTATCGATGAAACTGCATGAGGTCAATCTAACAAAACTTTCACAAGTTGATTAACAAGTGTATAGCTATAGTTTTCAGACAACGTGACAACATTTCTTAATTTGTCGTTTACAGTTCATAAAAATAGAAAGTGAGTAAGTTGGGATCGCGAAAATTACATATTTGCCCAAAAGTGACAAAGATGGGGTCTACAATTGTCACAGAATAGACTATAATGGGGTAGGTCTTCTGAAAGGACAGCGACACATACCAACCAAAAATTAACGCAAGTACCCCCCACCACCACCCACCCACCCTCCCTCAGGCACTAAACAAACGCGATGTGGCCATCAACACGAATCATCCTGTCATCTCTCTGTGACGTCTCACTGACAGTTTTTTTCATAGTAGGGCTATGAGACATTCACGCAGACAGCAAAATAAATCCGCTGGAGAAGGTTTAGCCTGTACACAGATGTTGTTTTATTTTTCTTTTCGTTCTTTTCACAAACATCAGCGGGGGCGGAGATCGAGAAAGAAAACTATTTTCTCTTTCTCCACCCCTACCCTCTTGTGCTGGCGGTCAATAATTCCCACGCGGTTTTTGTTTTTTATCACGCGGGCTCGACGGACTTTGAAGAGAAAATAGAGGGTCTGTGAACAGGCTAGAGAAGGTTATCTAAAAAGGGGATTCTTTCAATTCTACACCTTCACAATCCTTGCAACACACCTTCACAATGCAAATATTTCGAGATTATTAAACCTTTTTTTTAAATCCTTTGTCTGACTAACGATTCTGTCCGATAATGATCAGTGGAGTTTCTTCTAAGGAATCTTTATAAAAGCAGGTGCTCTGAAGCTGTTATCACTTATCCAACTTTTATTTAATAATAATAATAATAATTTACCAATTTATATAGCGCGTATTTACATGTGCTGATCAATAGCGCTTTACAATCATATGTTTAAAAGAAAACGAAAATACATTACCGTGAGAATAAAATAAACTAACTTACAAACTATAAAAATACTTCTTAAAAAGACAGGTTTTAAGTCGAGATTTAAAACTGTTAAGTGATGTTGCCTGACGAAGCTCCACAGGTAGCTCATTCCAGAGTTTCGGAGCTGCTGCTGAGAATGATCTTGCTCCCAATGTTGTGAGCATCTTTCCCTTGGGATGGTCCAATAAGAGCTTACCAGTAGACCTAAGATTATATAATGAATTCGATTTTATACTAATAAGATCGCTAAGATAAGTTGGCGCTAGGCCATAAATACATTTGAAAGTCAAAAGTAAAATCTTATAGTCAATACGCAAAGAAACCGGCAGCCAGTGCAGCTCATAAAGCGCCGGTGTAATGTGAGAAAACTTTCCAATGCCAAGAATAAGTCTTGCTGCTGCATTTTGTACACGTTGTAATTTAGCGATCTGCACATTTGGTAAGCCAAACAATAAACCATTACAATAGTCAAGACGGCTGGTTATAAAAGCATGAACCAAAGACTTACGTCAACGTGTTTATTTTACACTGTAAATCACAATTATACTAATATATATAAAGCAGTCAATTTTGTACCGTTTATATTATCCAGTGACTTGAAATGGAACAATCACATTGTAGATTGCATTAAGAAAGCAAATAACCGCCTGTATTTCATTGTTCTCTTGAAAAGGGCTCGTGTTCCCCTTAATGACATTGTGAATTTCTATTGTACAACAATCAGACCTGTACTAGAACACTGCGCTCCGGTTTTCCATTACGCACTCCCGGCTTATCTTAATGAGGATATAGACAGAATTCACAAAAGAGCGATTTCCATAATTTCACCTGCCATGTCATATCGGGAATGCCTTGACAGCCTAGGCCTGCCAACGCTATATGATAGACGTAACGGACTATGTAGACAATTGTTCGATTCCATTGCTATCAATCCCGGACATATGTTATACCACCTGCTGCACCAAGAAAACAATAAAGCTGATAAAAGCTATTAAGTGATAGGAATTATGGAGTTCTAGAATGTTTGGCGTTCACAGCCATTTACAGCTGTCTCCTACTAAGGTTGGAACGTTCCATACCATATTACACCCCCCATATCAGGCCCCAGGCAGGCCCCGACCTACCATATCAGGCCCCGAACTACCATATCAGGCCCCATGTATATTAAGCTAGGTTTCCGGTAATTCACTTATATTTCGATTTTGTTTCACAAAAGAGGCGGGTTAACTATCCTTCTTGACGGATAACGGCAGACAGTTAAGGTCAGACAGATTATTAGTCCCAAATTTAATTTAAGTAACCGTTCCGTTTTCACATCAAGACAAATTATTTGTCTGACGCCATTTATCCGAATCATCCGCTCGTCTGTCGTGTGAGCGGCCAATAATAATAACGTCGAGAATAACAGGGAAATTTTAAAACGTGTTATTATTTTGTTAATAATTGGGGAAATATTGTACCAAAATGTTTAATATTAACAATCTAACTTTCATTGCTTGTAGCAACATATACAGAGTGTCGGGTAAGGACGTATCAAGGTAAAGCAAAAAAAAAAAAAAAAAAAAAAATCAAGGTCAGGGAATTTTCTACAAAGTCGTGAAAATCTCTTATTGGCATGTTCAAAATTATATTTTCCTTGCGCACAAAATCCGGTGTAATTTAGCTCAAAGACTTTGTAAATGAAGACAGGAATATTGATAGTTTGGAATAAAAGGGCCCAAGCAAATTTAAACGTGCGTTGTTTATTCCACTTTTAATCACCACATAACATTACAACTCTTTTGTGTCCTTTTCAAACTGTTCATTGTGTATCGATTTTAGCTTTTTATTTTCCTGCTTGGAGCAAAGGTCAAATCAGTTCTGGTGACACCCCCAGAAGCTGTAACACCATGGTTTGTTACTACTACGACTTTGTTACATGACACCACTACTACGCCGCGAAATGTAATAATCACCGCAAATTGCATTACTAACGCAAGATGCACTAAGAATCGCCCCAAAATGTAATAACACTTTTAACGCAAAATGTAATAATCTTTCAACGGAAAATGTAATTCTAACTTTCTAACGCATAATGCATAATTTGTTTCCTTCCCTATCAAACTCAGTTTTCATCCCTGTATATTGATAAAGTTCTTTTTTGTAATTTTTTCTTAAATAAATATTGATCTGTAATATCTTGCTTCCCTTTACGTGAAGTGTGTATGATACTTGCATTCCGCCCCATCTTTGCATACTTTTATTGATCATCAACTGTCAGCTCCATGGACCTAGCATGAAACGGACGCCGTTAACCCTTTATTAACATTTCTTGAAATTGACTGAAAATATAAGGACTGTATGTAGAGTACTCCTAGGAATCTTAACCAACAATACACGGAGGCAGCGGCTGCTACAAAATCGTCACTCAAAAAGCTAAGTCGCGGCTTTTACAAACTCTTTCTCGCTTTTTCGACTTTCCCCCCGTTCAATTAGTGAAATGTTAGCATACTTTCTTTAAGCTTTGAATGAAAGTAGGCGCTTCCTAGCGCACGTCATAGTCGTGCAGTAGCGGCAAAAAATGCACGTACAAAGAAGCGTGATACATGACTCATAATGTTGACAGGCCATACACGACTCCCTTTGGCCAAGTTGTTGTATATCTTTGACCTTTAAGCTTCATAGTTTGAGTTGTTCATAATGTTGACAGGCTATTCACGTCTATCTTTGGCTCAGTTGCTGTTGCTTTGACCTTACCTTCATAGTTTAGCTCTTACGAGTATATCTTGTACTGACTTTCCTCTTTTGTAAGATATTATGGGAGGGTCTTTAAAGATTTCTCTAAGCAACGGTTGGTTTTCTATAAGATACCATTTGTGCATGATGATTTTTTTTCGATTCGGTACTGAGGGGCGATACTCTGTCAGGAAGGGTGATATTTTCTTGTGCGTTTTTGTTTTGTTTTGCAAAGCCGACATTCTTTCGTGATGCTTGACTTCTGATAGTTGTTTATCTATCACTTTATCTCTATAACCCCTCATACGGAGTCTTCGCTTGAAATTAGTTATGTTCTCTTCGAACATTTTCTCAGAAGAGTTTGTTCTGAGTAATCTTAAGGCCTCGCCTTTTATGAATCCTTTCTTTACCCCTGGGGGGTGACATGAAGAGAAGTACGTGTATTGATTGGAAAGTTTCTGTCGGTTTGAAGTGTGTACGCACATGGGTGTATATATAAATGCAAAATTTGCAATTAATTCACACTGTAGTTATAAGAAAAATTTAGCCATAAAGTCACTTTGTATATTCTACAAACCGAGAATTTAGCCATTAATTAACGGCTAAATATTTTCCTTCTTATAGAAATTATTTAGCCATTAATTAACGGCTAAACATTTCCTCTATATATGTAAGTGAAAATTTAGCAATTAATTAACGGCTAAACATTTCCTGTATAAATGAAAATAAGGTTAAACTTAGCCATTAATTAACGGCTAAACATTCCTATATATAAGGAGAAGGTTAAACTTAGCCATTAATTAACGGCTAAAAA